AAGGACGGGGCTGGCGCCGAGGCGCGAGCGCGACGTGCCCCAGCTGGCTCTGCGTGGCTGGGACCCTCCCCGCTGAGGGGGCTTTTTGTGCAAAGTCGATAGCTGCCGGTTGGGCAGAGAGGTGCTTCTGCGGGCGCAGGAGCCCGAGCAGCGAGCAGGGCACTAACCAAACCCGCGGCCGTTGCTGCGCCGGAGGAACGTGGCTCGGGGGCAGGAGGCGGCGGTGGCCCAGGCGGAGCGTCTCTGCCCCTTGGCTTTTGTCTGAACGGCGTGTTAAATGCAAACGGGTTTGAAGTCAGGTTTAAAGCTCATCTGTTCGGTTGGCAAAGGTTAAAAGATCCCCAGTGTGTTTGCATTTAATTCCCTATTTTAGTGACAGATTATTTTTTTTCGTAGGAGGTGAAATCCGGCTGAGTTTAAAGGAGGGTTCTGTAAGCGGAGGCTCATGCACAACAGACTGGAATGATTTATTCGGAGCTGCTATCCTCATATCAAATCCCATAGCTTTGTCTATCCTCGTTAAGTACCCTGAGAATACGGACTGGCACTGCGGGAATTTAACGTGACACATAAAAATAAGGAGTGTTGGAGAAAGCTCTAGGCTTTACAGTATTTAACTGGCTTGTATCCTTGCTGCATAGCAAGCAATTTCCCTTGAATTTGAGATGCCGAAAGTGGGAGAACACCTATTGCCTTGCCTTGGGCCTGGCACTGGCTGTGTCAGCATAAAATAGGCAGCCTGGGAGAGCGTGAGCTGCCAGCCCCGGGCTGCAAGTTTGGGAGAGTGGCTGTGCCAGCCAGGCGTTGCTGCACGAAAGTGGATGAGCACCAGAAAGGCTCAACACTGGAAAATAAGCATGAGTAAAAATATGTAACTAGGATCAGCACGTTGGTTTAATTTTTATACCCGAAAATTGGCACATCACCGCTCCCGCAGCTCATTCGGGTGCGAACCGTTCTTGCCGTCCTGGTTGGTGCGTGAAGGGTTTGCCGTCAGCCGTGCCCTTGCTCCGCGAACCCCCGCGCCTGCCGTAGCTCTGGCACCAGCCTCCGCAGAGGAATTAGCAGAGCCCCAGGATGGGCGGGATGGGGGAGCAGAGAGGGCGGAGGTGTGGGGAACTGCGGGTTTTGGGAGCCGAGGTGTGATGTTAAGCTGTTGCAGGGACTTTGGTGAGTCCTGTGCTTCCCTTTGCCTCCCCCAGGCAGGGCAATAATGCTTTGCCCTCCGGGCTTACGGGAAAAATCCCATCGCTTGCTCTCGCCCCCCTCTGTCCATTAAAAAAGACCCTTTAAAAGCCATCTCCCTCTAGGAGATGAATTCCGTGCACATGCGCTGCCTCCCAAGAACCTTCTGGCAACCCCTGTAGCAGAGCTGTAGCATTCAAAACCGCTTGTGCCAGGTAAGATGCATGTCAGGGGAGTTAAGCTGCCTTTAATCCTTTCCCTCTTCCCCTGCACCGAGCACACAATCTCCCACTGTTACAGAACTGCACACTAAATGTGGCTATTCGGCTTAAAATTTGTGAGCAAGAAAGGGGAGGGATGTTTTTCTTTTTTCTTTTTGGTGGGATGTTGCTGCTAAGAAGCTGGCGTGATCATTGCCTCTGACAGCGGCAGCCTCTCCACTTCACTCATTTGCTCTCGATGCCGTGGAGCCTGCTGCTGCTCTTGTACCAACCAACCGACAAAAATCCTTTTTTTTTTTTTTTTTTTAATTTATTTTGTGCAATTGCGGAGTGCACGGAACAGCTTACGTGACGTAGTTGCATCCTTGCACAGAGCTTTGCGTGTAGCATTATCACTCAGGTGAGACCCGGGGTTTCAACCTGGCCTTGCTTGCAGGACGTGGGGTGCAATCCAGGACAGGCAAAGGCAGGTATCGGTGTGGCCCCAAGCCCCTGCAGAGCGGCTGCCCACCCACGGTGCCATCTCGAGCCGTGGCAGTCGCTCCTTCCAGCTGGCAGCGGCTCTGCAGACCAGCGCCGCAGCCTGCTGGTATAAACGGACCTTTTGGAAAAGAGGGAGCGAACCACCCTCATCGGCTACGGCCTCTTTAGTCCCAGCTCTTTCTGCTATGTAAACAACTCTTAGACAAATGCTTTTGTACGGTGGCTGTCTGCTCCAGATCTGCCGTCTCGGTCCTCCCACAGCCTGCCAGGAGCTGAGGCTGGCGGGCC